ACGACCTGTCGAAATCATCGCAATTGGCCAATCAACTTGCTCAGCAATTGAGAACTGCAGACACCCCGGATGGTGTTCGTTTGTTTTCGTTGCTCACACTTGGTGAACTTGGTAGAAAGTGTCCAAAAGTGTACGAAAATGATTCAACACTGAAGTGAGTGTTTATTTGTTTGTGCATTTCCTTATTTTGTGATGAATTCCGTTCGTGATGAAGTGAAGCGAAAGAACGTTTATTTTGGTTCTAATTGGTTAATTTAATAGTGGAATATGGGAAAGTTTATTTTAGATTATGCATTGTAAGCAAATTCTCGCAAATGTAAATTGTAAGTGTAAGCAAATGTAAATTTAAATTGTAAGCAAATGATTGGGCAGTGTTGAGGGATTTTAAAGGGAGGGATGTAGAAAAACTGTCTTCGTACTGTTTTCACATTTCACTAGTTTTTCTATTATGTGGCGTGTCATTAGATGCGCGATTAGCCATGATTGTTATTTGCAAGTGTTGCATAAGATTCNGTTTTTCTATTATGTGGCGTGTCATTAGATGCGCGATTAGCCATGATTGTTATTTGCAAGTGTTGCATAAGATTCCTACAGACCAGAAGAGTTGCTCGTGGATGCATTCAATTCGTCTTCTGAAGAACTGAAGACTGCAGCATCGTATTCACTGGGAATGTTGGCAGTCGGAAATCTGGAGAAATTCCTTCCGTTCCTTTTGAAGCAAATCAACTCACAACCCAAACGGCAGTATCTTCTGCTGCATGCACTTAAAGAGGTCCGAAAATTTTTTATTGATTCATAAGTGAGTAGATAAATTAGATAAGTAAGTAAGTAAATTTCTGGCATATCAAGTATGGTCTTTGTTTTAGAAGAAATTGTGGACAAAAGATATATTTTTGATCGAAAACTTTTTGGTTTAATTGCTAAATACTATTGTGCAAGTGTGATGGTCGAAAGCTGCGGAAGCATGAGGTACTGGGGAATATGATTCCTTTTCGGGTTGATATCTTCGAGAAACAGCTGTGGGAATTAGAAATATATCATTAGGAGAGTTGATTTGTAGCGATAAAGAAGACTATTGGATGCAATCTTCAGGTGATTGGATCAGAAAGTGTGGATATGAAAGCAATGGAATTCTTCAGACCGCGTATTGAACAGATCTGGCCAGTACTAATGGATCATGCCGTATGCGCTGAAGANTGGAATTCTTCAGACCGCGTATTGAACAGATCTGGCCAGTACTAATGGATCATGCCGTATGCGCTGAAGAGGGAACACGTAACGTTGTTGCGGAGTGTTTGGGAAAACTTTGTTTAGTGCATCCTGAATCTCTTTTGCCATTACTTAAGGTTTTCATTATCTTCTCTTCGTTTTCGAATATCATTGGGAGATCTTGTTCTGTCAGCATTGTTGGGGATTAGAAAAGAGGGCAAATCTGGATATTTTGCGTTTAACAGATGAATCGCTCATTGTTGGATTTGTGTTGTTAGGTCATTGAACGTGAACATTTTTAGATGTTTTCGAGAGAAGCAAATTGCATTGTTTATCATCTAGGGAACAGTAGAATGGCTAATATTCATACTGTTTTCTTATATTCAGATATTGTGCTTATTCACTGCCCGAAAAAGTATTGTTCAAAGTATGATATGGATGAAAATTGATTGGGTTGATTAAGTCAAGAAATTGTGAATTATTTCACTGATCAACATCACACAATTTGTGCATCTAATTGGACATTATTCAGAAATAAATCCAAAAAAATTGGTGTTTGTAGGATTGTACGGTATCGAAGAATCCTCTGATGCGTGCTTCGGCCGTAACGGCAGTTAAGTTTTTGATAGTTGAGCAGTGGACAGCTGCCGACGATTTGCTGCATGACGCTATGCCAGATTTTCTGCAAACTGTGAACGATCGCGATCTGAACGTGAGACGTGTGGCGTTGGTTGCGTTCAATTCNTTCAGTTGTTGCTGATATTTGCTGTTTATTCTGTCCTTTCATTTATTTTTTTATTTAAAGTTTCTTCGTTTAAGATGTTCTTCTTTCGATTCTTCTCCAGAAATGAGTTCAGTGATGTTTCAAATTGAGAATGTCTTTGAATCATTGTTGGCTTCCTTTGACTTTGTTATAGGGCATTGTATTTGTTTAGATTCGTGATATTCTTGATGTATTCCTACCGTCACTTTACGCTGAAACAATGGTGAAGAAAGAGTTGGTTAGAGAGGTTGAAATGGGTCCATTCAAACATACAGTGGATGACGGCTTGGATTTGCGTAAAGCTGCTTTTGAATGGTGCGATTTGTCTGCGATACTTCTTTATATGATACTTTTGTTCATTCACAATGATACTGAAGGATATCTGTGTGGTGTTGAAGGGAAATGGTTCATTATTTTTGATATTGTTGTGCAGGAAGAATTCGGGATATCGTTTCAGTTCATTGAGGGTTCATTTATTCAAAGGATGAGGAGTATTTATTAGAAATGTTTAGGCTTGATAACAGTATGAGATACAGCAGTTGAGATATACCACTGAATGCTTTCAGTATGTATACGTTATTGGAAACATGTCTGGAACGATTGGAAATCAATGAATTTATGACACATATGGAGAGCGGTCTTAAGGTAACTGACTTCGTATTAATTTGTCTTTTTCAGATCCGTTTGTTCTTTTTTGATTATTTTAGTTGCTCTAACTGGTTATCGCTCATCAACACCGAGTGAGTCATATGTTTTTTATAGGATCATCACGATATCAAGCTATTAACTTGTTTGATGTTAGCACGTTTGGCTGCTCTGTGTCCCACACAAGTGCTACAACGTCTCGACAGACTTTGTGAACCGTTGAAGGTTAGCTTTAAAAGAGGATTGATTTGAATTTTTAGCAAATATGAATAATTCAGATGTTAAAGTGTTCGTTTTTGTCAGTGGTTGTTATTTGGATATTCATGAATATTCATCTGAGATGAATTCATCCGGATAGCTTTTATTCGGTTGACATTGAGCAGTGAATAGCGATTATTTTAATTCTGATATTAACGATTCGATTTCTATGCCTCACTGTTTTATGTCAGTAATATCGGTGTAGATCATTCGGAAATAGATCATTGTCGGGAATCTTTTTTTTGCATTCAGCTAACGATAGTGGGCATCACATCATATTTCATCAGTTTAGTTTCGGAGAATGATTCACTGATCAT